TCTTGCTTTACCAAATCCAGAATGGCGAAAAATTGTAGAAATTGATGCCTCTAATTATGGTTATGGAGGTATTTTAAAATAGGTTAATCCTACCTGTAAACAAGAAGAATTATTAAGATTTACATCAGGAAATTGGACTAAAGCTACTTTAAATTATCCAACAATTAAAAAAGAGTGTTTAGCTATTGTTAAATGTGTTTTAAAATTTTAGGATGATTTGCTAAACCAAAAAATTGTAATTCGTATTGTTCAGCAGCTAAATAGATATTTAAAAAAGATGTTCTTAATCTTGCTCACAAACAGATATTTGTCTGTTGGCAAAGTGCTTTATCTACATTTGACTTTGATATTGATTATATCAAAGGAGAATAGAATTCTTTACCAGACTTTCTCACCCGTGAATATTTGCAGGGCTCATGAACAATAGAGGTGGTCGTGGCCCGGGTCGTAGGGGCCGGGGCCAGGGCAGGGGCAACTATTACCAGAATCCATATATAACAAAATTCCCGGCGTTACAAGCCTCCATCAATAATCAAGAGGAATCCTCTGGCCAATCCACCAAAGATGTCCTCCTTACTCCTGAATAGTACACTTCTAACAGCATTACTGAAGAAACAGTTCTTTACATTGAACCAGTAAATGAAAAATGGATGTCAGATCCATGGGAAATTAAACGTTGCTATCTTACAAACTCAACAATTCCCCCCTACTTTGACCAATACCGTTATATTTACAAACAGATACTCATTGAGGCTGCTGCCATGGAAATCAAGCATATTTTGCATGATCCCTCCAAGGCTGCCAGTCTGATTCAATTCAGTAAAACTACCATCTGCAATATTATGCCCATTGCTACATGGGGCATTCATCCGCATACTACTCGTCAACTTGACATTCGCAACATAGAAACTTGATACGGTTATTGTGACTATATCGAGGCATTTACCTATGCATTTTATTAATAGAATCCTATTCGCAATCATTCCTGGTTTATCCGCATTAGTCCCAACATCCTCAAAAATGATTTACCAAATTGGTTTCTCGTTTGGTAGGATAAATTTCGGTTACAACTTGAAGTTTTACCAGTATATGTCTGTGAAGCTTTTAATGAATGACAAATTGCTTATTCTCATTTACCAGGACAACAGGATATTTCTATGACCAAATCTTTGGTTCATTTTACTATCCGTTTCAGTATTCCATGGATATGGAAATGGGATTTTCAGTGTGATTATCAGTATAAGATTCCACGTCTCAAAAGAGTTTTCTTTGTGAGATGGTGGGATAAGGAGATGAATCCCACTTTACCAGAAACTGTCAGGCTTGCTAGGATACTATTCCTAAAACAATTCCAAGTCAACCAGTTATTCAAAATCCTTTTTTTGCAAATTCAAACAGAATTACGCCAAAAATATCCGAATTTGTCAGAAACAGAATTAGTCATTAAAAGTATGGATTTTATGAAGGAACAATTCCTCCAGACTATTTCCAGTGATGACACCTCCATGAAATCCATTACTAGCAGTCAAGGCCAGGATGAAAATGAATTTGTTGTTTTAGCCGGTGAATCACAGGATCCAGCAGAAGATGAACCCAACTTTGGTGACTTTTGGGATTCACTCACTAGCATGATTGCTGAAAAGATTTAAAAAAAAAAAAACAGAGGAAATGACAAAGCATGAGTTTATGTCTTCTACCAACATCATTCATCTGAAGCGTCGGCATAAAACGACAATTAACAGTACACCCATTTTCTGCAAAAGCAGATTCCTTGTCTGCCATCCAGTACAGAGACGGATTGTTGTCACTCCTGTCCAAAGCAGATAGGGATGCTGAGTCAAAAAGAAGATTCCCACTCAATTTTGAGGATAAGGACGATCAACTCCAACCAACAAGGACACACCACCTGTCTTCACCTTATCTTATCTTTTCTTTTCCTCTGTCTATAAAAGGGATGTCCTCACCCTTGTTGAGGTAGAGTTTTTCTTTCAAGTTTTATTTCAAGAGTGTTTTCTTTGAAGCATAATATCTGGGTGTGCTCTCTCTCCCTTGTAAAATTTCTCAGTTTATGATATTTAACTTAAGTGTTACAGAATTATGTTGTTTTGAAGACTCCGATTGTAAGTGTTTTCTTCTTTATTATGTATGCCTGTAAATTTACTTGTTGATTTGATTAATGTTTTAGAATTTTATCTTGATAGTAGAAATATATATTTACAACAGCTTCAAGCAAACGACCCATATTTACAACCATATCTTTCTAACCAGTTAGAGTTTTGTAATCAACAAATAATCAAGATCCAACAGTAGATCTAGGAGTAGATTTGCCAGTGGGCGGCCACTGTCCGGCCTCCACCTCAACAGTAAATCATGAGACCATATATGTAAGAATTTAAATCTAATATAATAATAATATAAATGATAATATTTCGGGGTTTGCGCTTAATAAGGGTAGAACAGAGTAAGGGTAAATGGGACGTCATCTAAGTCACGTACAGGTTAGAAGACCGTAGTTACAGTGATTGCGTATAGGTCTGTTCCCTAGTAAAGCGTTGACAGACATGCTTAGCTCTAACCCTGTTCAAGAACCTTAAATGGTATCAGAGCAAAGTTTATTATCATTGGTATTATTATTATACTATATTTAAATTATGCATATATGGTCACAGTACATTCATTATGTCTTCCACCGAACCTTTAGATATAACAACAGTAGCCAATACAGTAACTTCTACACCAAGAGCAGCAGAACTTGTTGCATATCAGGATGTCAAGGAAGCCCTAGATAAATGGACTATCCCAAATGTAAAACCACATACAATTTATAAAATTGGAACATTTGATTTCTCCAGTAAAAAGATAATAAAGACATTTGAACATGCAGTTCCCCTACGGAATAATGATGAAATAATTAAACTACTTAATGTTCAGGACTTAGTACCTTTTTTCAGGAAATATAAATATATCCATACAGGATTAGTATAGATAGCTTTTAAACCTTTGACCTTATTAGGGCAAAATACCAGTATTCAGTGTACCTTACAAGATGGTAGATGTCTTGATTGGAAAGCTTCCCTTATAGGAGCTATTGAAAGCAGTTTATCACATGGACCAATATATTTTAACATTTATCCTAACCTGAGTGTAGCACTCATGGATCCAAATTTATCAGAAGTATTAGAACTATGAGTTCTTATCCATGGTTATCAGTATTTACCAGGAACACCTCCTTTATCTGCAATTTTTAGAATCCACTTAAAGGTTAAGGTTCTCACAACCTTAAATCCTTATACCCGAAAACATAGTGAATTGGGACATACTTTCCTAATTGACACTAATCTTTTCAGCAGCCAGGTAGCTGTTCCAAGAATGATTCCTTGGCTAAACATTACCTTTCCATAAACATGGCATATTCCAAATGTTGTTCCAACTAGACCAATCATTAAACAAACCATTGAACAGGTTGTGCAGACACAAGAAGGTAATATATACCTTAATTCTAACAGGCATTTTATTGTAAATCAAGGATTATGAAAATATATAATGTTGCAGTTTGTCTTTTTTAAAAGGTTTTGAGCTTTCAGGGTTCATTATCATTGGTTTCTAAAATAATATTTGTTTCTACTACACAAAAAATTCAAAACTTTTTTACTTTTAGCTTTTTCAATGTAAAAATAGAGACCAACCACACATAAGTTTTTGGAAACATCAAGAAACTGAGTTTTTTTCCTGTATCCTGGAAATCCAAAAGATCAGATTTTCTTTTTGCACACCAAAAAACTGCAACCATGTGAAAAATTTGAAATCAAGAAATGCCCATTGAAAGCAAAGTCTGAATAAACATAAACACGTGAAGTTGAGAAGGAGAAACTAGAGTTCAAACTTTGAGTGATTGACCAAACAAATAGAAGTAGCATAGTCCGAATATCTAATAGAAACACATAGTTTTAATGAATTCTTGTATCTAAAACCAGATATCCAAATTCAGATAAAATAGAGAGTGACAGTCTTTCACTAGAAAACTTCATGAAATTGAACAGTGGTTTATATATTTCAAACTGTGACTATTAAGCTTCTAATTTATCCATGCATTTTATTTATATTTGTTTAAAAAATCCAAGTAGTTACAATATATTTTAAACTATGACTATTACAATATTTTCAGTGCATTTTATAGAAACTTGTTTAAAAATCTGAAGTCTATTGTCATACGACTATGATACATAAAAACTAGAGATTAATATGCGATATCTCACAATAGATGAAAAACTTCACTGCAGGAAATTCAGCTTTTAGCGGCGTTTAAAAAACGCCGCTATAAGTGTCAAAAACGCCGCAAATTCTTTTTGCGACGCTTAGCATCAAGCGCTGAGGACGCGGCCGTCGCTATAACTTTATGACGTTTTTAAAACGTCGTTATATTGGTATAGGCGGCGTTTTTAAAAAAACGCCGCTAAATGTCTTACTTAACCACACCGTAACATCAATATGATATTTAGAGACATTTTTTAAACGCCGTCATATCTTTTAAAAAATCTAACTGTTAATATTTTGGGTTTAAGTGGCGTTTTTAAAAAAACGCCGTGATATCTCTTTTTTTTTTTTTGAAATTGTGCTAATTCATGTGATTAAACTAAAAAAATACATATAATAAAAATGAATAACACTAATATGAAATAATAACTTACATTCAAATAGCAAATCCATCATTAATTCACTTTCCCATTCACCAATCACCATTACCCACAAAATAATATATCCACAAATGATATTTTAATATTATCCCCAAAATAACATATCCAAAAATTATATTCACAATTCTCAACCAAAAAATTAATTACTATTTTTTATACAAAGTCACAAAATAATATTACTCTCTTCTCTCTCTCATCACATTGCCTCCAAGGACAACATTATTAGAGATGAACGCCTATTTTCCCTTTACCATCAAACATTATTCCATATGAAGGCAGAAAACCTATGAATAAGACATTACTATGTTAGTATGTGCATATAACATTTTCCGATATAAGTAGCCAATTCCTCACAAGAATTATGTGCATATAACATTTTCCGATATAAGTAGCCAATTCCTCACAAGAATTAATGGCTTGACAGTGACTGCACAGACAAGAAGAAAAGAAGGAAAACTAAATGTTCAACATAATACACTTCAACCACTGCATAAAATCTAATAACAAAATAACCATACAGTGGACATAGAGGTATAGGTTTCACCATGTTATGTGCAACAAGAAGCAAATTTAATGCTACCGATAAATAATACTTCACACACGATAAAATAACTTACCTCGTACTGCCCCTTCTAGTGTTTCTCACACCATCTTCATCAGTAGACAGTAACTGAGGTGGTCTGGTTCTTTTCAGGTCTTGAAGTGATGTAATTTTGGCAGGGACGTAAGCTCCAGAATTTTGTGAATCAAGAAATGAAGTGACTGCAGAAGGCCTTTGATGAGTTTGAGCATCATAACCACTATAGAAAGATTTTTGCCCGGTGTCACCTGCTTTAGGAGAAGACTCAATGGGCCTAAGAGAAAATATAGCAATCAATAATACAATTTCTTTTTATGTCAGTTTTTATTCACTCTATTCCATCATGATGCGTGATTATTATTGCATGTCAGTTTTATTGCATCCCACTTCCCTGTTCCTCAGTGCCTGCTTTTGCTTCACTTCAAGAAGCAATCAGACTAGATAAGATTAGATCAAAACGAAACATGTGGAGTGTAGTTTGGGTAATAAGACTAGATAAGATTTTATAAATTCCAAATCCCTCCAAATCAAATTCCATTTTCAAATGCAAATTCCACTATTCCAAATATCTTGCCATTTGAGTTCTAATATGGATATGGTAATAGTGTTTATAGAAGGAAAAATCTTGAAAACCATTATTAGGTTGCACTACCTTTCTAGTTATACCATTTTGGGTTCACATTGAAACAACAGCCATACCCCTATGGCCTTCATATCTTAGCTTTTCCCTATTAGGAGAGGTTTGTGTTCATGATGATTTAGGTTCAATGCCACACAATGGAAAGGATTTTCTCTTGGGTTCATAGAATTTGATATTAAAGCCATTTCCCTAAGCCTATGGACAAAGAAATCAAATAAGAGGAAAATTCAAGATTAATACAAGTTAAATTCAATACAAAATAATAGTTCAATCTAGAGAGAGTTTTATCAAAACTAACAATTTTCTACTACAAACGAAGCACGTAACAATTAAAAAAGCTTCAAATCTCTCACCAAAATGGAAGCGAGAAAACTGCTTCTGAAGTGGTTGGTGGAGGAGATCTATTCGAACTGCTGAGAGATAAGAATCTACAAAATGAGAGATAAAGTTAAGAAATATGAGACATTATTTTCGACTACAAACGAGGCACATAACAAAGAAAAAACACAAAATCCCTCACCAAAATGGTAGCGAGAGAGCAGCTTCTGAAGTGGTTGGTGAAGGAGATCAATCCGAATTACCGAGAGATGAGAATCTGAAAAATGAGAGATCAAGAAGTTATTGAGATTATTGACATTATTTATTCATTTCTCTCTCGTTTTCAATTTGGTGTTAATATGGTTTTTCAATAATTGTCATTAATAAGAAGAAAAGAAGGAAAACTAAATGTTCAACATAATACACTTCAACCACTGCATAAAATCTAATAACAAAATAACCATACAGTGGACATAGAGGTATAGGTTTCACCATGTTATGTGCAACAAGAAGCAAATTTAATGCTACCGATAAATAATACTTCACACACGATAAAATAACTTACCTCGTACTGCCCCTTCTAGTGTTTCTCACACCATCTTCATCAGTAGACAGTAACTGAGGTGGTCTGGTTCTTTTCAGGTCTTGAAGTGACGTAATTTTGGCAGGGACGTAAGCTCCAGAATTTTGTGAATCAAGAAATGAAGTGACTGCAGAAGGCCTTTGATGAGTTTGGGCATCATAACCACTATAGAAAGATTTTTGCCCGGTGTCACCTGCTTTAGGAGAAGACTCAATGGGCCTAAGAGAAAATATAGCAATCAATAATACATTATAAGATATATTGATTTTTTATAAAAATGTATAAAAATTAACAAATTATATGCCAACAGATGCACAAAAAAAACCCTTATGAAAAAATGTTCCCAAAAGGATCAAGTTTGAGGAAAAAGGAGAGATCCCTTTAACGGATAAGGAAGTAAGACATTATAAAGGTAATTAATTTCCTGTATGAATTGCAAAGTCAAAAATTGATGTGCACAAAACGGGACAAAACAACAGATACAAATGCACAAGGTAGTAGCAAACCTCATTCAAATCACGGGCCATGTCTTTCAATTTATACAAATTGTACCACATAACCATAAAAACTAATCTGAAAAATAAAAATATATGGCCTTTATTGACACCACCAAGAGATCTTATCTAAAAGTTTTCATGTAATTACTAAGATACATCACTTACCATTCTCACTATTTTGAATAATAGAATCAAATTATGTTGTTTGATGAGAAATCTGGACATTAAAGCAAGAATTCTTCGATATCATGTTTAACTTCTGGCATACATGGGTACCATTTTTTTCTCTTAAATGCCCCACGGTTGACTTGGTCTTCATTTTTAATGATGGCATTTGATCTGTCCTTGTTAGATGTAGCACAATCTTCAATTGAGTACATCAGTGGGGAAACAAAACCCCTCCAAACAATCAATACAACAGCAAAAGACCGTCATGAAAACAACTGGGATTAGAAATTAATACTAGACACAGCAATACATGTAGAGCAACTACTATAGAATACTAAGAGACACATGAATTAGAAAGACAGGCAATGTAAATTGAATAGCGATAGTATATATGCATCGGAATGAAAAAAGTTTTAGAGCAACCACGCTTCATTTAAAGAAAACTAAGATGTAGGTCAACAACCCACCACATACAGTATTTATATAAGTGAAATAACATAGAAACAGACTGAGCATTGACAATTTGACTCAGCTACAAACTTTATCATGGTAAATTGTGGAATTTACACCTTACGACTACAAGGACCCACACTTCAATTCATTAAAGATTTTGTGGTTCTAATAAAAAAAAGTCCTTTTTTTCTTATAAATAAATATCATAGCACCCCTTGATTCAATACTCATATTTTGGTCAGTTCATAATAGTTAGAAAGTCGCACAATCTGGCTGTTATTCATAAAACGAAAGGCCATATTGTTTGTTGAAATTGCTCAATCTAGTACTTTGTGACTAACATAAATATACTTAAAAAGTTATTTGTGAAAAAATCTTTAAACAATTCATTAAATACTAAAAATACAAAAAAAAAAAAAATGAAAATTCAATACGTTTTTCGTATTTTTGTGTATTTATTAATTTTTTAAAATATTTTTTGACAAATATTTTACTATTTACATACATCTAAGTAAGGTGCATCTAAAAAAGTAAAAAAATTATTTAAAATTTTAAAAATATTCATTAAAAATAAAAAATTAATTTTTGAAAAACTAAATTCAAAAATCTAAAATCAAATATTATTATTATTATTATTGTTGTTATTATTTCTTTTTATGTCAGTTTTTATTCACTCTATTCCATCATGATGCGTGATTATTATTGCATGTCAGTTTTATTGCATCCCACTTCCCCGTTCCTCAGTGCCTGCTTTTGCTTCACTTCAAGAAGCAATCAGACTAGGTAAGATTAGATCAAAACGAAACATGTGGAGTGTAGTTTGGGTAATAAGACTAGATAAGATTTTATAAATTCCAAATCCCTCCAAATCAAATTCCATTTTCAAATGCAAATTCCACTATTCCAAATATGTTGCCATTTGAGTTCTAATATGGATATGGTAATAGTGTTTATAGAAGGAGAAATCTTGAAAACCATTATTAGGTTGCACTACCTTTCTAGTTATACCATCTTGGGTTCACATTGAAACAATGGCCATACCCCTATGGCCTTCATATCTTAGTTTTTCCCTATTAGGAGAGGTTTGTGTTCATGATGATTTAGGTTCAATGCCACACAATGGAAAGGATTTTCTCTTGGGTTCATAGAATTTGATATTAAAGCCATTTCCCTAAGCCTATGGACAAAGAAATCAAATAAGAGGAAAATTCAAGATTAATACAAGTTAAATTTAATACAAAATAATAGTTCAATCTAGAGAGAGTTTTATCAAAAGCTAACAATTTTCTACTGCAAATGAAGCACGTAACAATTAAAAAAGCATCAAATCTCTCACCAAAATGGAAGCGAGAAAACCGCTTCTGAAGTGGTTGGTGGAGGAGATCTATTCGAACCACTGAGAGATAAGAATCTACAAAATGAGAGATAAAGTTAAGAAATATGAGACATTATTTTCGACTACAAACGAGGCACATAACAAAGAAAAAACACAAAATCCCTCACCAAAATGGTAGCGAGAGAGCAGCTTCTGAAGTGGTTGGTGAAGGAGATCAATCCGAATTACCGAGAGATGAGAATCTGAAAAATGAGAGATCAAGAAGTTATTGAGATTATTGACATTATTTATTCATTTCTCTCTCGTTTTCAATTTGGTGTTAATATGGTTTTTCAATAATTGTCATTAATATTTTGAAAGGAAATATAAAACGTGCAAAATTAGAAGAACTAAACAAGAATTCGTAAGAAATTATTGACATTATTGATATAATTTATTCAATTAGAAAATGAGAGATTAAAGAGTCTCATATATAGAGTTAAAAAGTAAGTATGAGACATTATTTTATGCCACAAATGAAACACATAAAAGCGAAACACAACACCAAAAAAAAAAAAAAAAAACAATGAAAGATCAATCCAAACCGCTGAGAGATGAGAGCGAGTGATCAATGAATCCGAAAAGTGGAGATCAACGAGTCTTATAGAAAGAGAGAGAGTTAAGGAGTAATATGAAACATTATTTGATACTACAACAAGAAGATGAGAGCATGTGAGAGAAACGAAAATGGTAGAATCACGAGTCAAGATTTGGTGTGATTAATTACTTGCTTGTTTGGTTTTGATTTTCAGAAAATATTTTTTAGAAAATTCTATTTTTTTATTCTTTGTATTTTTTTTCAATTAATTTTTTTTAATTTTTAGACACACTTAACATAAATACACTTAAAAAATATAATATTTGTGAAAAAATCTTTAAACAATTCATTAAATACTAAAAATACAAATATATATATATATATATATATGAAAATTCAATACGTTTTTCATATTTTTGTGTATTTATTAATTTTTTAAAGTATTTTTTGACAAATAGTAAAGCTACTGTATTGGCTATTGTTGTTATATCTGAAGGTTCGGTGGAAGACATAATGAATGTACTGTGCCCATATATGCATAATTTAAATAGAATATAATAATAATACCAATGATAATAAACTTGGCTCTGATACCATTTAAGGTGCTTGAACAGGGTTAGAGCTAAGCACATCTGTCAACGTTTTACTAGGGAACAAACCTATACGTAATCACTGTAACTATGGTCTTCTAACCTATACGCGACTTGGATGACATCCCACTTACCCTTACTCTGTTCTACCCTTATTATGCACAAAGCCAAGAACATTATCATTTATATTATTATTATATTAGATTTAAATTCTTACATATATGGTCTCATGATTTACTGTTGAGGTAGAGGCCGGACAGCGGCAGCCCACTGGCAGATCTGCTTCTGGATCTGCTGTTGGATCTTGATTTTTTGTTGATTACAAAATTCTAACTAGTTAGAAAGATATGGTTGTAAATACAGGTCATTTGCTTGA